TTTTTTTGCTTGTTTCCTTGTTGCGTGCTTTACTCGGTACGAAGATGCGATTTTTCCCTTACTACCCCCCCACCCTGACATCAGCTCCTTGCTCCGATAAGCCAGTCTTATTTCTCCCCCGCGAGCTTCAGTTCCATGATTGGCTCTGCAAAATATGCTGTGCCTGCATGAACGGCGGGGGAGGTATAATTGGTGAGAGGGACGGTCCTTTGAAAAACCGGGCTGGGCCGCAAGAGCGGTGTGAAGCCAATTTTTATGAGTCGAGGTCAAGTGACCAGCGGAAACTTGCCATCGCACTAGAGGGATTGGTACCAAACGGGAAGTTTTCCCCTGTGCCGTTATCTGGGGCAGGGCGAATCAAGTGATTCTTTTTTGGGAGAACTGGGGGGAAGGGGGGGAGAAGCCATGAAACAGCACAGGATGCTCAGTGGCATCGTCTCGAGTGCTGTTTTGCCGCGTCAGGTGCAGCGGGAAAGGGAATGATTGTGGCGACCGCAACTCCCACCCAAGAATTTCTCGTGTGTCGGACAGACTCGGAGAGCCTGCTGCGTTCCTGCATGCTTGCTGAGCCTGTACATGCTGCAGATGCAAGGCAATAACTGGGGATGGAGCCGGGCTATGGGGCAGAGCTTCTCGGCTTATGATGCGGCGCTGGCTCTGGAGAGGGACCAGCTGTCTCACACCGGGTCCTTTTTTTCTCCCCGGAAAATGTGAGGAATGACGAGGAAGAGGACGAGGAAGGGAGAAGAAGAAAGAGAAAAAAGGGCAAAGAAAGAAAGAAGGACGCCGTGTATTGGCCTTACGAAACAGCACCTTCGCAAAGCTTGACGTACCGTCGCTACTACGTCGCATCTGCCGCGGATCGACAGGACTGCAGCACCCCCGACCGACTCTTTGGATCAGGCAAATCCAGGTCTGAGAATCGGTCACGGGAGGAATCGGGGATAGCCGGCCGGAAGGCCGCTTGGTGTCGTAACCCCACAAAACCGCCCTCTTTGACTCGTCTCGCTCCGCTGGTTACCTCCACCTCGGCAAAGAGGAAGACAAGCTTGACGAGGGGAGGAGTGCGCTGGGGAATCGCTGGCACACACGAGCGGATGGAATGCTGTTGCTGCGGCTGGGCTGGGCTGGACCGGGCTGGCACAAAGCCAAGTTGCGCACCAGTCAGTCAGTCCCCTCAGCCAGCCATGCATGTGGTTGTAGTGCTACGGTGCTTTGGCTGGCCTGATGAATCCTTACCTCACCCGCCGGTACCAATCAACCCGACTCCTCGTTCCCCGGAACATGGCCTGGGGGCGTGGCGTGGCGTGTGTTTTTAGTAAGAACAGCGTGCTCTTCACATAAGGCCCCCCGGCTTAGATTATTTATGCCATGGACGTGGGCTTTGTAAAAGAAAATCTCGACGCATCTCGTGATCAGACGCGCGGGCGGTCGACTTGGCTGTTGCGGGCGGGATAGGGCCATTGCTGGCGTCTGGCTTGCCCCTTACTAGTGGCATATCGGGACCTTCAAATCCATCTTATTTGGTGGTTCCTGACTCCGGGTTTTCCCCTCTGGCTCTCTCCCGTTGCTTTCAAACCTTGGTGTGCCGCTCTGGTTCATATCAGACCTTGGCTATCCCACCACCGACACGGCACCAGCTCTAGCGCACCACAGCACAGCACCCGACAGCACACCACAGCGCCCAGGACACCTGGAGCTAGAGCCCAGCCCAGCACAAGCCAGTGGCTGCCATCACTCGCACTCACTCAGCATCACACATTTATTACATATCACACACACGCGCTGCATTGCATCATCCGTCCATTGGCCCTTCGTCCCGAACAAGCGGCGTTTTGCCATCGTCATTCTGTCGCACTGGGCCCAGAACCTAAGCCTGGCCCCGTCACATCGCGTCGCAGCTTCAGCCGGTGCCCCTCTCCGGAGTGAAAGCCGTTAAACTCAACCTCGAATTCCTCAATCTAGCCATTTCCCGCCGTCTCCAGCTTTTCCCCACAGCCGCACCAAATCTACTCCTGTGCACATCCAGACAGACTGCTTTTGCTTGTCTGCACTCATTGCATTGCATCGCATCGTGTATCTGAGCCGGTTGGTTGCCAGTTGACTGTCAGTTGAACTGCCCCGGACCTCTCACTCGTCGGCTGGCGATTCCCGGCCACACGTCGGATAGTCATCCATAGCCGGCCATTCATATGCACACATCAGCCTGCTTTTGACGGTTTTGGCACCATCCATCGACCCCAGACCCCAAACACCCTTCAGCCCGGCCAGCTTCCTCGCCAACCCGAACTTCTCCTGCCCCTCCACTTCGCTGCGTGTATCCGGCAAGTGCAACATACACACACCCCCGTTCAGACGACGCTGGGCGAATCAAGTTGCATCTGTCGATCCGTGTGCTTGCTTGCTTGCGCCTGTCGCCTGCTCTGCCTGCTGCTGCTGCTGCTTCTTCCCTGGCCGTGGCATGCAACTCGACGTCTCTCAGCGGTGACAGCCAGCAAGCTCACGCGACCACGTCCTGGCATCAACCGCCCATCCGTGCATCTGCTTGCACTTCTCTCCCGCAACCTACGGAACCGCCTCGCCTGGCTCTTTCCAGTCTTTTCTTCTTCCCGCCGCTCTCACCTGTCCCATCTTGAATCCATTGCCATTGGGCCTCGGTCCTGTTCAATTGATAGCCTCCAGTGACCGATTGATTGATTGATTGATTTTTGCCTTTGCATTTCAACACCCAGCTCTTCACAGTGTCCGGGAGGCACGCCTTTTAGCCGTCGCAATGCCGTCGAGAACTAACGGTGTCGGGGTTCAGGTGGAAGAGACCAAAATATGTGTCGTCATGGTAGGCCTGCCAGCCCGCGGCAAAAGCTTCATCGCACAAAAAGGTATGTACCCGGCCATCATGTTAAACGACCCGATAATGGGTTTTTGAAACGGCCGGCCGTAGCTGACCAGCCCCATTTGAATTAAAGCCCAACGGTATCTTCAATGGCTCTCCATCCGGGCGCAGGTGTTCAACGTCGGCAACTACCGTCGCAATGACGCGCCCCACCCCACCGCTGATTTCTTTGACATGAACAATGAGGAGGGTGAGCGGAAACGTCGTGTGGCCGCCGAGTCCGCCATCGCGGACATGCTGGCGTGGTTCCGATCCGGCGGTGTCGTCGGGATCCTGGACGCGACCAACTCGACCAAGGAGCGCAGGAAATGGGTTATGGACACATGCTCCAGCAATGGCATCGAGGTGCTCTTCGTTGAGAGCAAGTGCGACGATGAGGATCTTATCATGGCCAACATTCGCGATGTCAAATCCACCAGCCCAGACTACCGTGGCCAAGACCCAGAGCAGGCCGCCTCGGATTTCCGTAACCGTATCAAGATGTACGAGAAGGTCTACCAGACCATCGATGAGGGCAACGGCGAGGATGAGTACACCTACCTGAAGCTCATGGACGTGAGCAAGCAGGTCATCATCAACCGCATCCAAGACTATCTCCAGAGCCGCATCGTCTACTACCTAATGAACCTACACATCAGGCCGCGCTCCATTTGGCTATCCAGAGTAAGAACTACCACACATCTAATCTGATCGTTGCTTCTTGCGTGCTAACAAAAAATCTTAGCATGGAGAGTCCCTCTACAATCTTGATGGCCGAATCGGCGGCGATGCTCTCATTTCGTCACGAGGTGAAGCGTATGCTCGGAAGCTTCCCGAGCTAGTCCGACAGTCTGTAGGGGTAGGTGCATCATCATTCTCTTCATCGAGGCCGTTTTTTTAGCCAGTTGCTAACCTGGGCTCCAGGATGACCGCCCACTCACTGTATGGACCTCCACCCTCAAGCGAACCATCGCGACAGCTCGCTTCCTCCCGTCGCATTATAACCAACTGCAATGGAAGGCCTTGGACGAATTGGACTCTGGAGTCTGCGATGGCTTGACGTACCAAGAAATCAAGGACCGGTACCCCGAAGACTTTGCTGCCCGTGACGAGGACAAGTACAACTACCGTTACAGGGGTGGTGAATCCTATCGCGACGTCGTCATCCGCCTGGAGCCCGTTATTATGGAGCTTGAGCGGAGCGAAGACATTCTCATTGTTACCCACCAGGCCGTTCTCCGATGCATTTATGCCTACTTCATGAAGAAGGACCAGGCTAAGAGCCCATGGATGAACGTGCCCCTCCACACGCTGATCAAGCTGACGCCGAGGGCATACGGCACCGAGGAGGAGCGGTACGAGGCCAAGATCCCCGCCGTGAGCACATGGCGCGGCAAGGGAAGCACGGCCAAGCACGAAAACCCCACACCGGAGTCGCTGTAAAACCACTAATAGATATCATCTTACGATCCTTGTCTAATCATCTGTTTGCCTGCCCGCCGCAAATCACCGAATCCTGATAATGGGAACAGGAACACAACCGGGAAGAAGGAGAGGAGGAAGCCCAACTGAAAATCACAAAACATCACGATTATGCATGAATGAATTAGCAGACGTATCGGACAATGACGTCTTCATCACATTTGAATATCTGGGCAGGGTACTGACACCAAGAACGGTGGCCCGTAAAGCTCAAAATTGGCCGATGTTGAATAGATAGTTGCAAGCCAGAATGAGAGTCACACTCCATCAAAAGGCTGAATAGCAAGCTACATAGCCAACAATCAAATTAAAATGATCAAGTACCTAAGGCAGTGCAATGCTTTGCTCCCATTGTTCCCTTTCTTGACCTTATTGACTCAATTGTTTTTGGCCAGAAGAACAATGGCCCAGCCGAAACTGAATACAATCTCAGATTCCTTCTCACCTTGGACGGTTTCCGTCTGAAGCTCTCAGCAGCGTTTATAAAAAGGCAGCTTTCTCTCCTGCCAAAGCTTGATCTTCTCAACCTCTTCCATCCATCTCCAGGAAAAGAAGTTACCAAACCCATCCTTCCAAAACCTCAGCGTCAGTTCAAGAACTCTCCAACCCAAACCAAAGCTCAACCAAACTTGACTAACCTTCCGCAATGGATTCTCTCTTCACCGTCGACCCTGACCAGCCTTACGCCGTCTGGGCCACCCCGGGCAAGGCCAAGTACTTTGCCACCCCGGACCCAAATGTCCCTCTTCCTGCTGACCTCGAGTTCCGGCTCCTCATCGCTAACCCGGCCGGCAGCCCCCACTGGTTCGAAGGACCAAACATCCTCCACGTCCCCCTCACCATGGGGCTCCCCGCCCTGGTCGAGCGCCTCCGGGAGTTCCTCCCCAAGGACCCGGCCCCGGAGCCCAGCGGCCACCAGCACCAGAGCAAGCTGATGAACTTCATGCACCGCGGCTCGCGCAACGTCCCCAAGTGCCCCCGCCTCATCCACGCGCGCCTCTACCTGACCCGCAACCCGGACGGGGCCGTCGTCCCCTTCGACCGGGCCTCGCGCCGCAACAGGCCCAACGAGGAGCTCGACCACGGCTGGGACTTCCAGCACTGCCTCGCCGCCATCGACCTCGTGCCCCGCCTCGAGCAGGACTGGCGCATGTTCCGCGAGCTCATCGTCGCCGCCCGCGGGCAGTACAAGGTCTTCATCGCCATCAAGGGCGACAACGCCTAGGTTTACCGAGGAAGTTCTACTACTACCACATCTGCCATTGCCATTGATCGACGAGGGGAAACTAAGAAACGGACTTACAGAGTTTAAGGGTTCGACTTACGGAATTACGGAACTACTTGAGCGGAATCTGAGAAGTATGGATGTTGCGGTTCGGACTTTGACGTGGGCCTGGGACATCGCGCATCAAAGGAGGAAGTAACACCAGAAACCCGGGTGATTATTCAAGTCAGAATCGTCATGGACTAATCTTATGATTAAGAAACAAACACAAAAGAAACCGACAAAAAAACTTTAAAACGACTTTAAAAACTCACAAAAAAAACCAATCGGAAACAGCCACCAACGACCAGTGATGCATTTCGCTTCCCCGGTTTCAGAACAAGTCAGTATAGAAGCAGACAAAACCCCTTTGCTAACAGAGATGCTTCGAAAGGAAAGGAAAACTCCCACTTGAAGAGGGTTTAAAGGAAATTAGCTAGGACAGGACAGAGATATTCTTTGGAACGCGAATTGACAAAACCATGGCAATGGCAATAAGCTGTCCCGTGCCCTTAAGTGATGCGATGAACACTGAGATGATGTGATAGAAAATGAATAAATAAAAATGATGATGATTAACTCAAGAAGCTGCAAATGAAACATTTCTGCGCCGAGTTGGTTTTCTCTGTGTACCAATTGCCCTCCCCCCCCCTCCCTCCAGTTTCCTCACTTCCTTCTCACCCTGTTCTCCAAGGTGAGTGGTTTGGTTCCTCCTGTTCTCGCGATCCTCCTCGTCCGCAGCCATGCAGTGACAAACCAAAAGGGGGGGGGAGGGTATCATGGTGAAAACCGCCCATTTGAATGCATCTGTAGTAGCTTCGCTCTAATAACCCTTCCCATGTATGAAGAGTTCAACTGACTAAAGAACAAAAACACAAGGATTTCGCGGGAAAAAAAGCACACACACGCACACAGCCTTCTTTCCTTCCAGCCCTCGTGGTGTCTTCTTCCCTCCATCTCGCAAACCGCACTCCCAATTTCTCCAACAGACGCTAATCGTACACGAACAATTGTATCAGGTTTCCCCCGCCCACACCATTTGCTCGGATTAAGGAACATGGGGGGGGAAGAACGACTGCTCCGCCCTGAGCTGCAACGCCGCGTTTCTCTGCGGCTGAAAATCGACATGGCCGTGGCGACATGAGCAAAGAATCTAGGCAGCCAGGGAATAGTTTTAGAGACGAACACACAAAAAATATGGGGAAACAAGAGAAAAACACACAGGATGTGGACAAGATGGAAAGGGATAAAAGTAAGAATAAGGAGAAACAGGAAAAAGCCAGCAAAATTCCCAAATTCCAAAGAACTCAATGATTTTCGACCCCGGCCTTGTTTTGTTTCATTGAGCGCATGCAATCCGTCAATCTTTTCAATCAAGCCCGTCGTCACTACCATTGTGCCGCCCTGCCAAAAGGGGAGGCGAGGTTAATGCCTGATTCGATATTCCGTCCATTAAACACCAGGCCCGCACATGCTTCAACTCCCAGTAATGAAGTGTCCAAAAAACAAACAAGACCCCATAGGAAAATATAAAGAGTCCAAAGAAAATCCAGTCAACAAGAGCGGCTATAGGCGCCGGTGTTTTCCTGAGACCGGTACGGTATCGAAAGGGGTATTTATCAGCTGCAACCACAACCACAACCATGCTCAGCTCTCTAAGGATTGCCCTTAACTCTCTTAGTCATGCGAGGCGTCGCGGGTTTCCGTTGGATGCCATTAACCTGGGCTCCGGGGGTAGGGGCGCTGGATCCATCATCTTCGGCCTTAACGCCAGATGGTCGTCGTCGCTTGTTTGATTGCGGTGAGGTGTTTGCACTCGGGCCGCTGGAGCTGGTTCCCTGCTGGCTGGCTTGGAGCTGCATGGCCGGAGACTGCATATGGCCCGGGGCCGGGCTGCCGGCAACGATGTGAGGGGAGCCTGGCAGGTTCATGTGGGCTGGGTTAGGACTGGCGCCCATCTGGAACTGTCCAAAGCTCGGAGTTCTGGCGTTAACAGGAACAGGCTGGCCGTTCATGCCTGGAATGTTGATGTTCTGTGCTACGTATTGCTCGAGTGCTGCATATGGTCCCATGCCATTGGTTGCTTGACAGAAGCCAAACAGGGGGTTCATCTGTCCCATGACCTCAACAATCTATATAACGGTACAGTCAGAATCGAAACAGAGCACACGAATCTTATAATTGCCTTAAGGGCCTCATACCTCAAGAAACTGATGGACGGCATCGGTGACTCCCTTGCTGTTGACCGCAGACTCCGGTAGGTCCGGCAATAACTCAGGAGGATGTGACTGCGGTGACCTCAGCGGACGGCCCTTACCCTTCTTGCTAAGCTCGGGGGATCCCTTCGCCTCAGCATTCACTGTCCTCCACTCCTTCATCCAGTTATGAACAGGCTTGGCAGCATCGATGACCTGCTTCCGGGAGATATACTCTTCATGACCAGTCGTTACGAACTCGAACAGGTCAATTCTCTGCTCCGCGTCGAATTGCGCGCGAAGGGTGCCGCTGGCGACGAGCTGTGGGAAGGGGTCAGTGGTTAACGAGACGTGAGAAGAAGAAAAAAACAACGTACATGGGACCCTGTCTCAAACCAATAGACGAGGCTCGCCCTGGGACTCTCGATGCAGTAGCAGTCGCCCGGTAAAGCACGATCTTGAGTACCCTTATCCATAATCAACTGCATGTTCTTGACTCCACTGTTGAAGTTTGTATGGAAGTAGCGGGCGATCGCAGGGAAAGCGATCTCGTACTGCTTGTCGGTGGTCTCGTCAGAATCGGTGATGTGGAGCGAGTGTCTAAACACTCCATTCTGCGAGAAGAATCGGGCAACGAATGCGTTCCAGTACGACAGGTCGTCCTTTGTTCGCTGGGGCTGAGTGAGGAATGATTAGTACACCGCGATTGCGGATGGGCTGAGCGGCGGAAAACTTACAGGGATGCCACCCAGGCACTCGCTGAACTGCATGAGCTTCGACATGCACTGTGCCCTCATGGCTTCTCTCCGCTGCTGGAACATCTGGTTCTGCAGAGCCATCTGCTGTGCTGCTGCGACGGGGTTCATCTGCGGCTGGCCCATCTGTTGCTGAGCTTGAGGCTGAGCTTGGGGTTGATGCTGCTGAGGTTGCTGTGCCTGTGGGGGTTGGTTTGGCGGTTGGGCTGGGGTAGATCCAGGGGTCTGCGCGGGGGTTTGCGCTCCTGTTGGGGCAGGGGTACCTGCCTGGGAAGGCTGCGGTGTGTGGTGCTGCTGGCCTTGCTGCTGAGGCTGCGGCTGAGGTTGCGCCTGTGCCTGGGCTTGCTGTGGTTGCGCCTGCTGGCCTTGCTGGCCCGGTTGGCCCTGCCCCTGTCCGGGCATTTGGTTTTGGCCACCACCAAGTTGGTTCTGCTGCATGCTCTGCATGTTCTGCGCAGTCATCTGGTTGGGTTGGCCTCCTGGTTGGCCCGGCTGGGGCTGAGGGCCTTGCTGCTGGGCATGCTGTGACTGCTGCTGTTGGGCCTGAGCCTGCTGGGCATGGGCTTGTTGGGCCTGCTGAGCCTGTTGTTGCTGGGCTTGCTGGGCCTGTGCCGCCTGCTGCTGCTGTTGAGCCTGCGCTTGTGCCTGCGCTTGTGCCTGTGCCTGCGCCTGCTGCTGCTGCTGTTGGTGCATGGCGTACTGTTGGGCCATGAGGGCCTGCGTCTGCGGGTGCTGAGCCTAAATTCAAGTCAATAAACGCATTCTTCTTATGCATGCACGGTTCCGGATCCGTGTCTACTTACCGGAAGTCTACCCTGCGCTCTAAGCTGGTGCAGCTGTTGATTAAACTGCATGCCCATCGGCATGCCGCCCGCCCCAGGTCCCATGTGCTGCATCTGCTGAGCCATCATTTGCCGCGCCTGCTGTTGTTGTAGGAGTTGTTGATGTTGCCGCATGGCGGCCATGGTGGTGGAATTATTTTGAACTAGTGAGATGTCCGTGTTAGCAGGATGAATCATGGCAGGGTTGGGGTGTAACGCGTCCCCGGAAGAGGCTCGCCCGTTGACATACATTGTTGCTGAAACTGTTGCTGCTGGAGCATCTGCTGTTGCTGCGGGCTCATGTGTTGGAGAGGATGGCCGTGGGGGTTGGCACCGGGTGGCATCGCGCCCATCAAGGCTGGGTTTACCTGGCCGCCGGGCGTCGCTACTCCCAAGTGCTGTGCGGCGAACTGATGAGGCATCCCGCCGGGAGCCTGCTGTGCGGCACTGTGAGGCATACCGGGGGCCATAGAATGGCCAGCAACTGCTGGATGTCCCATTCCCGCAGGGTGTCCTCCCCCGAAGTTGGGTCCCCCCATACTGGCAGCCATCATCTCTGATGTTACCTGGTCGGCTTGGCCGGCTGTCCACTTAGTGGACGTCGACGAGCGCCGCTGCTCCTATTGCATGCGCTCCTTATGCGGAGGACCAACGGCTTTCCAGCAGGACTCTATCGTGGAAAGACTTGGCCGTGTATGTGCTGGGTCGCGACGAAGGAACAGCGAGGCAAGCGGGTGTGCACGCCGAGGATGAGAAGCAACCGTGTACGGTGCGTATCGGACAGAGAAGTCAGGTGGTTAGGGGTGGCGGCAGCGCATGAGTCGTATAAGCGTTGTGTGGTTGAGCGCGGCTTCGTGATACCAAGGTGATGGCGTGATGGAAGAAGAGCCGAGATGGGAGAGGGAGAGAGAGAGCTCGTTGAAGCCGGAGTCAAGCGACGAGGCGAGGGGATAAACAAGAAAAGCGCGATGCAAGACGACGCAATTGATTGTGTCCAGGCCGCGGGGACGAAATGGTGGAAAGCAAGTCCTGTGGGTGGAAGTGCGACGAAAGTTTGGGGGGTGGAATCTTCGACCAACTCCCGCGCACCGCTGGTGAGTCCCGAGCCTCGACAGCACTAAGACAGAGAGCGGCCCAAGGAGTCCGCCGGAGGCAGGCAGCCGGTCAGGATGTGGAGATGTGAAGAGCAAAACTCAATTGTACGGGAGTCGCCGTCGATCGCACAGCCGCGAGGAACGGGTTGGCTGCCGTGGGTGGTGATGGTCGCGACTGTTGCGTTGCGGTGCAAAACGCCAACCCTACCTGATCTGCCTTGGGGAGACAGACAGGACAAGACAACTTGGGAGATCGATCAGTGCGTTGGGTGGACTCGGCCAAGTCAGACAGGCGCTGGGTGGGAAACTCGATGGGACGGGACTGGGCAGACAGATAGCAGAGCGGACAGGGGGCAGACCCTTTGCCCAGGAGAAGTGCCGGATACAGCGATGTCGCCAGCCAACGAGGGGCGATTTGCCGCATCAACCACGGATTGAAGAATGCTGCCAAGGGCCCGGTAGACGCATAATTCCTAAATTAAACGCGCAGTCGCGCTGCTTTTTAAGCAGCCGGGCATGGGGGCAGTCGTGTCAGGCAAACTTTGGTGGCTGGGAGGCGGCGCCTACCGCTCTATCGGGGCCGCGACGCCAGCGCATTCGATTTCCGGGAAATCAGCAATATGCAACAATTTCTGTCTGGGCCCGCCCGTCACCGCCGGCACACTGCATAGGGCGATGGTCTCGACTGTCGCGGACGGGGTCCAGCCCATCGGCTGCAGACTCTCGGCTCGACGTCTTTCCCGTTATTTTTTCCCGCTTCTTCCCATCACTTTTTTCTCCCCTTCGGCTCCTCCCCCTATCGCTGCGTATTCATCTATCAGGGGCAGCTAATGACGCACGGTCCCGTTTCGGGCACATTTCATTGATGCGCTGCACTAGTCTGGGTTCCTTCGGACGCTAATGTGGGATTCTGCCAAAGATTTGGTAAGTCACGTGAGATAAGCACCGTGCGGATCACGCAGAAAAGTTTTGTACGCACTGCCTAGCAATATCTTCCTCCGCGAAAACTTCCAGTTCCAAATTTTCTTCATCATCCTCTCACCAGCTTTTCCACCCCAGCGAGGGCCTTCTGCTCTCCCAGCCTGGCGCATCGCATGGCGCAGCCTCTTCTCGCTCGACCGAGTGAGTGTTGTCGGTTCAATTTAATCGTTCAGCCTGGCGCGCAGCACCGACGGGAGTTCAGGTGGTTCACCAAGCTGGGCGCGGAAGCTGGAGAGGGGATGCCTTTCTTTTGGTAAGTTTGCCGTCCTCAGTCTACTCACAGCCCTTCTCCCCTTCCCCAAATGATGAAATCATGAACTATTGTCTTCTTTTCCCGTCAGAATCGACCATGAAGAAAATTGCCGGGCCTCTTCGAAGAGGCCTGTTACTTGCCAGTATCATTCTCTGATCACAACACAAACCTCTCATTTTTTTACCCTCCAACCATCAAGGCGTTCAATCACTAACATTAATCCTTGAAAAGATATCCTAGTGCTACAATCGATCCCGAACAACTGACCAACGCAGGGCTTACGCTCCCCTCCCAACTGACTCAATGTAAGTCTACTTTCGATTATTATCACACACACAACACAACCTTTTCATGATGAAATTTCCATCACTATTCGCAGTTTCCACTCGAGTCCCATAGAGCCAAACTTGGGACAGATGACGGCATACACTTCCTTGGATGTCTGATCACTTGGTCCATCAATTCATTTTACCTGAATAATTTTCTGTCATGAAATTGAGGCTAACCAAAATAAAAGTCTAGGTACAACAGAGCGAGATCTCCTTGCCGTAGAGTATCCATTTAATGTCAGCTTAATTTATAAAAAAATTTCCTCTTCAAATCCCATCTGTTAAATCGTGCTCCTTTAATTTTGTGCTTGCCTTTTATTTGTTATGATGTCCAAGAAAAACAGTGCTTGGCACTGAGACTGTCCCGTCGATCCCGTCGACGAAATATGAATGACTTGTATAAGGACTGTTGATGCGCATGTCTAAGCCACCCGCAACTCTTCCCTGGTCCCTTCTCTCCTCACCCTTCCCCCAACGATTCCCATCCTGTTCCGACCCGTCCTCCCCCTACCCAGCCAGTTGAGCTTCAGCATTTTGCACAGCTCGACAATCTTCCTATTCCTCTCGTCGTCTGCGTCTCCCACTTCCCCCAAGCTCGACAGGACGCTCATGCACTGCAGCATACGCCCCACCATGTCGGTGACCTGCTTCGAGTCCTCCACGTTCTGTTCACGCACGCTGCCCAGCACCTGCGCACTAGACGGCGTGAAGGGCCGCATGAGGCCGTCGCTCCCGTGGCTCCCGTAGCTCACGTTGCTGATGGCTCTGCTGCGCCCACCAGCCGAGCCACCAGAGCCTTCGCCCAGGAGGGTGGTGCTGGTCGAGTTGTAGGAGCCCTGTGACGGGTCGAGCGACATGGCGGTGCCTGGACGGGCCATGGAGAAGAACGAGTCCGACGGGGAGGTTGAGAGGAATGCCTCTGGGTTGGAGGAGGAGAGCGCCATGCTCCCGAGTGACGAGGGAAGGAATTCCAGGGAGAGCCGAGAAAAGATGGTCTTGAGGGTGTCGTAGCGTGGAAGAATGACGATGTCACGGTAGGCAGTGAGAACGAGACGCCTGACATCCAGCACCGTAGATGCAGGGCTTACTCTGGCTGATGCGTCCGTCTTGACGCCTCCCCAGAAATCCCGGGCCTGCTCAGGGGTCATGATCGTCCCGCAACCTGACACCTCTAGATCTAGTGGTAAGAAAACCGCCTGGATATATGGCAGAATAGATGTAAAAGTGAAGAGCCAGAGCTCAACAAGGGTAGGGATGAAGCGATCCTCAGAAGTCTTCCGCAGGGTTCGATCCAGAGATGAGAATCCCATAGCCAACAGGTCTCGCAGGTCCTCCAACATGTCGTTGGGGGTACGTCTGCGGATGCAGAACTGAATATGCATCTGCACCACTCTATTGAAGTCTTCAACAGGGAGACGCAGATCTTCCCCTTCAAATATCATCAGGAGCTTCGCCTTGAGGTATGGCCAAGCATCATCTAGTGACATGTGATTCTGTAAGCCGAGCTTTCCAGGATCAACTGGGTCGTACATGGTTGACTGTTGAGACACGTTGGGCAAGCTACTGGGTCCTGGCCACTCGCTCTGACCAGGGAAACTGGAATCCTCTCCCATGCGACTGTCTGATCTCTCGGCATGCTTCTTGTCTTTTTTAGTCTTGGTGAAGCTGGTGGAGCTTGGGCCTGGACTCGGAGGGACATTGAAGTTATACAGGCTGTTTGGCGCGTTGGGGTCTGTTGGCCGCGAGTTGCTGGCGGCGGACGAAAGGGGCAGATTGAACTCTTCCTTGAGCTTGTTCTTCTGCCGCGTGAGGAAATGGTGCCTCTTCTCCTTCTCCTTGCCTCCGCCTTCCAATGACATGTCGCCCGGCCTGATCGTTGCCGCGGAGGAGTTGTTATGGAAGTAAAGAGATTGACTCCCCGGGTCGACGAGACTAGTTGTACTGAAATTACCACGCTGAAGAGCGGACAGTGCGGAGCCGATCTTGCCAGGGCTTGGCAGGGGCTTCTCCTTGGTTTCACCCTTGGTACTGATCTTCCCAGGCCGAGAGAAGAGCTTGGCCTTTGCTTTTTCAGACTTGCTCAGTTTCTCCGGAGGCGGCGGGGGTGGGGGAGGAGGCATTGATGGTGCCGAGGGGAACTGGTGTTGGTAGCCAGGAGGATGGTTTGGCGAGGTATGGCCAGAGCGAGGGAAGACGATATTGGCGGCGGCCGTGGCAGCAGCAGAAGAGGCGTGGTTGGAATTGGCCAGTCTGTCGCTCTGATGAGGATGTCCACCTACTCCCCCAAATCCAGTATCTCGCGGTGCGCTGGCCTCTGTCAGGCTCAACATAGGAGGGTTCGCCGGGCCCTTGCTACCGCTTCCCCTTCTAGACCCGTCATTAGATTCCCCGGGAAAGGGGACGGTCTGAGACCGGTGCCGTACATGCTGCAGTTGCAGGTGCTGATGCTGCTGCTGTTGTTGCTGTTGTTGTTGCTGCAGCTGTTGCTGGCTGTTCTGGTGCGATATCACAGCCGCCTGGGCCGCAATCTGGCTCGCAGAGAGCACCGTTGTAGAACCCGGTGTCTGGCTCAGGCCCACCTGCGACAGGTTCGAGGTGCTCGTAGACGGCAGCGAGGGCTCAAACAGGCCCGGGTGCGCCGAGTACTTCCTCGCGTTGTTCTTCATGGCGGACGGTGCGGCGGAGCCGTGGTGGGTGGCCACCCTCGCACCGGTCGGGCGGGAGAAGCTGTGGACGGTCGACGTGCTCGCGTTGGACTGGGTGGTGAACTGGGCGTATATCGGGGCGGCGGCGGCAGCCCCAACCTGAGCCACTGCTTGTGCCTGCGCCTGTGCCTGCAGGCGGGTCTTGGCGACGGCTATCGAAGGCGCATCCAAGAAGTCATCGATGTCGGGGGTTTCGAGCTGGCGATGGGGGGATTTGGCCGGCAGAAGTGGAGGCCCGCCGTCGTCGTCGCTGTCGTCGCTGTCGTGGCGGTTGCTGCTGTCGTTTGTGCTGGACAAGGAAGCACCCGGGAATGGGGAGAAGCTGCCTGGGGCGTGTGATGGATGAGGTCGTGACATGGTTGTCGTCTATGCCCGGCCGACAGGGGGGGCAAGTTACATGTTGGGGCGGTCGGTGAGCGATTCTCGGGGCATTGCAGCGGGAAGGGCTCGTAATTCGTGTGCGACGCGCAATGCAGGCTGCGAGCAGGTAGGGAGGTCTGTCCGGTCTGGATGCGCAACAGCAGAGCAAGGGAGGATGTTGGTGGTGGAAATCGCGACAACCCTGGACTACCCACGAGGAGCTTGGTGCCTCCAACGGCGTGTCAGGCTAATTAATCGAGAGTGAACGCCCGCTGACGTCTCAAAGTGGTGGTTAAGCCAGCTGATAGCAGCACCTATTCCATCTAGGTGCATTGATCTATTGCAACCCCGCCAAAATCCTATGTCCCCGTCCAGATCCATCCACCCCTCCAAAATCAATTCCAATTTTCCATTCTCATCCTCGCTCGCCCGCATTCTCCAACTCTCCCCCGTTTTCGTCTGTCTACCTGTCCAGTAAATTTCTCGCCATGGCTCAAGAAAAGAAATCCGACTTCACCGTCTCCTACAGCTCACCCTCCAACGAGCCCTTCACCATCACGAACAGCATCCCAGCACCCTCCACATCCTCAGTCCAGGACAAGGCCACATACCTGAGTGCTCTGCGTGAGGCAGTCGTCTCAGCCCAGGACCAGATCAACAAGGAGCTCACGGATCGGATGGAACAAGACAAGTCACGAGCGACCGACGGCAACCCAGCCGCTGCCAAGGGCGTCGACGAAGCACTAGAGGAAGAAAATTATGGCGAGGAGGTCCAGGGCGAGGACTGAGCTGCGAGATACCAAAGCGGAGGAACATATGCGCACCTCGGTTTACTCCATTCATCGCCTTTATACGTTCTACCGAACACTATATACCGGGTATTAGAAGAGAAACAAGTCAAGCCAACTAACATAAAACTGTCACCAACACAAATAACCCCGACCGATGCATATGCTAGAAAACAAACCACGTCGAGGAACGACCAGAGAAGAGGGCCGGATAGTTTAAAAACCCCGTCCCCAGCTGGGTGCTTGCACCCGCTCCGTCCTCTGGCCGGTCGCCTTGCTCAAACAACCATAATGCACAACCGTGTTGTCGGGCAGCACGGCGACGACGCTCCCGCCCGTCCGCATACCACCGCCAAACCTCCTGTGACACACGACGCAAAGCTTCTCGTCGGTAATGACGACATGTCTATGGCGGCCCCCCTGGCCATCCTCTATCTCGTCACCGAGGTAGAGCCGCGCTGCAATCGAAATGCCCTCTGCTTCTCGCAACTTAGCCACAATTCGTGACTCGTTGACGAGACTGTTGGCTGCTCGCATCCGCCCTCTGAAGTATGACTCAAGTTCTCCCACTGGCAAATCGTCGGGGATCAGACCCAGCGTTGACGCTGCAGGGAGGCGAGACCCATGTTTCGAGAGCAGGTCCAGGGCAGGTGCGAGCTTGGGCTTCTGTGGAGGAGCTGGTTTGAGATAGATCGACAATAGTGTATGATAAATAGAGAGGTCATCATCATTCGACGAGCCACCGACCCCATTTTCGACGGCCGCTGCTTCCTGTGACAAATGAATCCGATTACAGTAACTATGTATGTCAGCTTAAAAGAAAACTAACCAGTAATAAAGGGGGCTTGGGGCTTACTCTTCTGCTTTGGCGTAGTCTTGCATGTTATCAACATATATCTCCAGTGCTTGCTTGTGCTGTCCCATGTTACTAAGGACGATAGCTCGCGCCTCGTAAAACGCCGGGTCTAGAATTGATCAGCTCTACTGGATTCATCAACATTGATTTCAGAGCCCTTACCATCTCTTGGGATCAACCCAAATGCCTTCGTCAAGCTGTATACCTGCCTCGACTCCCGGAGGAACTTCATGAAGCTCCCCATCTCCTTATCCCAACCCTCGCCCCGTTCTTTCTTGGCCAGGTTCTGAACGTACAGCTCCACCAGTCTGTTGTGGAAGTCCGGGGTCATATCCCCCATTTCCTCGATGACGTGGGCCAGGTACTGGGCCTCGAGTTGAGGTCCCTGCTCGCGCAGAAACGCGAGCACTTTATCTCGTGGCAGTGTCTCCGCGTTCTCCGTGTCTCCTGTAAAGATCTCCATCGCGTACTCTGGATTCTCTTCAAGCACCCACTTGGCATGTTCGAGAATAAGATCGATCTCCGACGGTGGGAGGCCCTCCAGATACCATATTGCGCGATCCGGACCATGCAGGGTCGGTGCGGCCGGGTCTGGCTTAGTTGCAGTGCCGAACTTCTTAAGGAGGTCCAAGGCCTCCTTGTGGAGTTTCTTGCCTTTGAAGAAATCAATCAGCTCGTTGTAGCGACTGTGCTCCAAAAGCTTCTCGTTGACGACATCAGGGTCGCAGAAGTTGGGAAGCCGGAATAACGAGCCCGCGAGCGTAGGTGATGAGAACATGTAAGCACGGAATAGGGCCGTGTCGACGACGCGGAATGTCTTCTGGAGCTCCTTTTCCTGCTGCTTCTCGTCCTCCGTCTGAGAAAGTCGTAGGAACTCCTCGACGTCGATCTCGGTCCCGGTGCTTGTTTTGGACGCGGGCTTCAGCTTCCCTGTTGCCGGGTCTATCAGTCTCTGCAGGCGAGCTCGGGTTCCGGCCAAGTAGCTATTCAGAGCCTTGACGGCATTGGTCAGATCCTTCCCGTGGAGAGGCCCATCCTCATTCTTGACCGAGTTGTTTGCGTCGTCGGTATCCTCGGCGTCCTTCGACTCCCTCCTTGAAGAGGCAATCGAGGCGGCATCGGCCGGAATCCCCCTACGGCTCCCAAACAGCTTGGCAAACCCGCCGACAGCCTGAGGCGACGATAGGTCGGGAGATTCCGCGGTAGGGCTTTCCCCATTGGTTTTCTCCGGCGCCGCATTCTCTGCCTCCTCACCCTCCTCTTCTTCTTCTTGGCTATGGCCGTACCATACAGACAACTCCCCAGAGATCTCAGGTGGGTACAGTTTTAGAACCCGCTCTGGTGGTGCGTGCACATCATCTTCATTGAATAAGTCGAGACTCTTTTCGTACTTCTTGTCCTTAAACAGTCTCTCCGCCTTCATCATCTTGACTTCTCGGAGCGTCCCTGCCTTGTCTTGAAGAAGAGCATCCTCCAGCATGTTGAGCAAGCTGATAGCTTCGTCGAACAGGGAACCACTGACCAGCTCCTGGACCTGGGCGTCATAGTCTGTAGCACCCAGTTTCCAAACGCACCGCTCACTTGATATGTGGAATCCCTTTGCGTGAGATAAGCTCACCGTTGGTGGCAGGAAATGGAGTTGAGCTGCGCCAGGGAGAGAAATGGTCTGAAGAAGCGAGAGGGTATCGGGATTCCGAACCTCGAGAGAACCCTTGGACGGCGCCTGGAGGGCGAGGATATATGGGTATGAATATCCGACAGACTCGGGAGCAGCCTGCCAGGGAATCTGCTTCTTCTTCTCGATGGGCTGGCCCTTGTCATCAATAAACATGGAGTTGATGTCCTTGGCCAGGAGCATCTCTCCATCAGCCAGCTTGGCAGCCAGTGGTCTCGGCATGTAACCACCAAGACCCATATAGCCCATCCCCGCGCTGCTGACAGCGCCAAACCGGCTGCCTTGGCCGTTGGCGGCCAGCGTACCCGGACTGATGATGTCCTCCACCTCCCGCGTCAGGACATCAACCATGACATAGCCGCTGTTCATGCCACAGACCAGCTTCGTTGCGTTCGCCCAGGTCACTGATCGGATGGTGTCGGACAGAGTGACCTCTCCCACGTGGTCGCTCAGCTCACTCTCGTGCCAGCTCCAGAGGAGCAGCCGCCTTTTCACGGCGACGGCCAGGCGGCTGATGATCTCGGGGATCCCGGTATCGGGGTCTTTGACAATGTTGGACGTGACGGCGAAACACGAGGCATTCTTTGTCCGACCGAGCGTCTCGACGAGCTCGTACGTCTGGAGGTCGTGGAAGGAGATGTGGTAGTTGGAGAGCGAGATGATGATGCTGGCCTCCTTTATGATGGCAAGCTGCTCTATCGCCCTACTGGAGAACTTCTCGACTTCGCGCAAGAGATCCGTGGGCTTCACGGGCGCACTCGAGTGTGGCTCGCCGCCGCCATTCTGAGAGCTGCCGGCGACGTCGCCGTCGTTCGCAGGCGGGTGGGAGCCATTCGTGGTCGGGGGCGGCTCGTTGAGCCGGTATATTCGAAGCGTGCCGCTATTCAGGCCGACGAGCACGCGGTCACCTAGCGCGATTCACAACCAGGTTGTCAGTAGAGGCTCCGGGGATGCCAAGAGGGCGGGCTCGGGGGTTACCGTTGGCAAGGATCGTCTCGATCTTGGACTTGTCCCGCTGCCGGAGCTCGATGATGGGGCGCGCGGTAAATGCTGAAAGCATTGCGCCGGCCAGCTTGAAGCTGATGCAACTACGCGGACATGAGATGCATCAGAAGGTTTCCGGTACGAGGGCTGGGGGGCCGGGAGGGAGGCGCGGGAGAATTGGGTGCGTGTGCTTGAGGGCGTGTTGCGGCGATGGCGAGAGACTGTTTGCTCCGGGCCTTTGGTATGCGAGCTGAAGACGTCACACGGTCGGGAGATGGAGCAAAGGCGCCGCAGCCGCTCTGGCGGTGGGATTGATGTACCCGGTACCTGGCAGCCTAGTCCGTCTCCCCCGTTCCCACCCAGCCATTTGCTGTCACCTCTCATCTCAGGCCGCCGACACCGTTCCTCGGCTGGAGCTGCGAATGCCTGCGAATGCTGATCTGTGTACGCCCCGCTGACTACCGATTAACCAATTCCAATGGACATTCCCGGAAGTGTGTTTGCCTGTCTTAGGTCAGTCAGACAGAGATGCACCACCTACAAGGATCACCACTGGCCTGTAACTTCCACGATATCGCGGCCTAAAACCTACCTAATAATATGAAATCAATTCAAGTAAATATATGCATTTGCTACCTATGAATAGATGGATCTTGTCTACATTTAAACATATCGACAGGTGTACCTTGAAGTG